TTGCGTTGAGTATTGTTCGCACTTGTGGGACGGCTCCGCCAAGTACTTACTCGATGCCTTGGATAAATTACAGCGTCGTGCTACTCGAATCATAGGCGACGAAGAGGTCTCATCACGCCTTGAACCTCTGCAACTGCGTAGAGATGTTGCATCGCTTAGCGCCTTTTACCGCATGTACCATGGTGAGTGCTCTGAAGAGCTGTTCAACCTCATCCCCCCTTCCCCGTTCCTGCTCAGAAGCACGCGTGCTGGCCTTCGTAGTCACCGTTTCTATTATATATTATAAATTTCTATTATAAATTGACCAAATTGACCAAAGTGACATACGTATATAAAATAATCTACTCCCATAATAATATGATGACTTTTAAAAATCAACTACTAAATCTAGACTGGACTAAGATAATACTAATTAATGACGACATAAACAATAATTATAATGCTCTTGAAGCAGCTCTAAAATCCCTATTAAACTCTTGTATACCAAATAAAAGAATAAAATTAAGAACTGAATCCCGCACAAAAATGACATGGCTGACAAAAGGGTTGAAACAATCGTGTAGACATAAAAGACTATTAAGATCACTGATAAATCAAACCGGTAATGACATATTAAGATCTCATTGTAAAACTTATCAAAGAATCCTTAAAAAATGCATAAAAGCATAAAAAAAATTGAGCTATAAAAAAATAATAAACAAGTCCAAAAACAAAAACAAAACTATGTGGAACATTGTAAAAGACGTAACTAAAACGCAAAAAACTCATAATCCTTCAAATTTGATGCTAACAATTTCGGATAAGGTATGCGATTGCCTCTCGGCGATCGCAAACTTGTTCAATGACTACTTCATGTCGGTGGGTGAATCATCGCAAAGGCGACCGTGCGGAAGGACACCTCTAAAACCGGCGCTAAACTCAATGTACCTTCAACCTGTAACAGAACAAGAAGTGTATAAATTGCTAAAACTCTTGCCTAATAAGTTCAGCTCCGGAGGAGATGAAATACCGTCTGCACTTATTAAGTTCTGCGCTAACGAGTTAGCTGCCCCCCTTACCATTTTGATCAATCAATCATTTAATGGGGAATGCTTTCCCGAAAAGCTAAAGGTTGCGAAAATCAAACCTTTGCTTAAAAAGGGCGGTAACAAAACCAACATTGCCTATTATCGGCCCATCGCGCTATTACCTGCAATATCTAAGATCTTCGAGAAAGCGATGGCAAATCGTATATACCGCTTTTTAGAAAAGTTTAATCTTTTAAATAAAAACCAATACGGGTTCCGGAAAAACCGATCGACAACTCACGCTGTTTATATGTAAATATGTGCAAGAGGCACTATCTTATATTAATGACAAATACTACGCAGTCGGAATACTACTGGACATGACCAAAGCCTACGATAAGGTTCTCCATAGTATATTGTTTTCTAAATTGTATGGAATCGGAATACGCGGCAAACCGTTTCGATGGCTGCAGTCGTATTTGGGGAATAGGAAACAGTATGTGGAAATCAATTCTCATAACAACTCCAACGGAGGATTTGAAAGTGTATGTTCCACGACGCGATGCATAAACAGTTCCATTCCACAGGGTAGCGTGCTGGGAAGTATCTTGTTTCTGATATACGTAAACGACTTACCGGATATGCTGGAATCGCTGTGCGTCATGTTCGCCGACGACATATCATTACTATTTAAATGTCAAAATAATAGCCAAAGTCTAAATCATGTTATAAATAATTTCGACGCTGTAAAAAGCTGGTTAACTGACCACAATCTTGAGATCAACTTGACTTATTAGGTTGGACCATAGACTCGCACTTTGACTGGAAAAATCACATTGAAAACCTTAAAAAGAAATTAGCTCAATTTACCTACGCACTAGCTGTCCTAAAAACTAATTCCGACTTTAATACAGCTCTGACTACATATTACGCATACGCACACGCATGGCTGCAGTACGGGATTATGCTCTGGGGACACAGCACGGTAGCGAATGACGTATTCATTCTGCAAAAGAAATGCCTGCGTATTCTATCTAATATAGATTCTAGAACTAGTTGCAGGCCGTTCTTCCAAAAAAATCGTATGTTGACCGTTCCGTGCATATATATTCTTGACGTTGTTAAGTTCGTTCGGAACAATATAGCCGAATTTAAATTTGTGAGTAGTTCACGTCGCAACAATCAACTGGTGCTTCCTACATCAAGACTGGAACTATTCAGAAATAGTCCATACTACAGAGCCATTTCAATATATAATAAAATATCCCTCAATATTAAAAATGAAATAAATAATAAAACTCTCTCGGTTAAATTAAAAAAATACTTAATTGAAAAGTGCTATTATTCTATGCATGAATTCTTTAATGACAAATAAAAATTTATTCCATTTTTAAACATTGAGACATTGACTTCATTTTGCGATCTTATCTACTATGTGATTTATAAAAGTAAAAATAAAAGTAATAATATGTACTCTTATATAGTCATTATTAATATTCCAATTTTAAAATTAAATTATGTATAAAATAAGGCCTATATGCCTAAATGAAATACTTGCCCTTATAATTATTACTTTTATAATATTTTAATATGTAATTTATAAATGTAATTGCAATGCCCCAACAGGGCTTATGTACATATTGGCATTGTGTTGTTTTTAAGATCTTTCTCACCAAAATTGTACATACTGCAGAAATAAATAAATAAATAAATTTGGCGAGCCTGGCGCAAGCTCCCATCGGCTGCGCCTACACACAACATCATCTCATAGTAATCACTATTGCTTAAGCGTGACATAGTTTAAATAAACACAAAAACGAGACACAAACAAAACGATGACACCTATTTAGTCGTCACAACGCAAACGGCGATTACAGACTGTTACAAAAAATAAAAAAATAGTGCCTCTGCCTCAGCGGCGGCACATCAAAGGACGCCGACTGAAACGCAAATTTTGGAATATAGGGTAACGTTTTCATAATGTACTTACCTACAGGATGAAATTAAAATTGTTACCATTTTTTTAAAATAAGACCCTTTTCATGATACAAATTACATCATTACATACACATTAAACGAATACCTATATCCTACGTATCTACGACCTTCAACGTTGCACTGCATACGCCTTTGTTTGTAAACATAACTCTGACCATCACCCGTACCACTTCCACACAACGCAAGAACTGACTGGGTCATTACGGATATACTGCACTAAGAAGGCAGTCACCCATCGGAAACCCACGACGTCCGAAACGAAAGCCTAACACACTAACCACTACACCATGGAGGCAGTCGACTATAGGAATCAAATCCACGACCTCTGAAACGAAAGCCTAACACTCTAACCACTACACCATGGAGGCAGTCGACTATAGGAATCAAATCCACGACCTCCGAAAACAAAGCCTAACACTAACCACTACACCATGGAGGCAGTCGACTATGGGAATCAACTTCCGAAAAGAAAGCCTAAAACCGGGTCCAGACGAGTGTAACGTGTAATGTAAGATTACGTGTAATTTAGCGTCAACAGTGTGGACGGCACACGAACTCAAAGCGAATTGTGTACGCGAAACGATTTTAAAAAAAGCTGTTTCCACTCAGTCACTACGAACATGCCGAACAGGGAGGTCGTGATAGCTGGTGCGGTTTTTATTTTCATGTGTTTACTAACTGAAGACCGGAAACGTCGGAAGCGTCGATGGTGGAAAATTGAATTGTATAAAAGAAGATCTTCTTTACTTGTGGAACTAAAATCTCAGCATATAAGTGGTCAATATAAAAACTTTACCCGGATGTCGCCTACTGACTTCGAATATTTGTTAACAATCATTGCGCCTAAAATATCAAGACAAGACACTATAATGAGATCTGCGATTTCGCCGCAAGATAGACTGGCTCTAACACTAAGATTTTTGGCAACAAGAGATTCATATACAAGCCTTCAATACACCTTCAGAATTTCAAAACAGTCAATTTCTTGCATTGTACCAGAAGTTTGTGAAGCGATTATAGAAGCATTGAAAGAAAACATTAAAGTGAGTTTTACATATTTTTATTTATTTATTAAAATAACAAATTAAGGTACTGTTTTCGCCTTTACCTACTTAATAGTAGGGTAAGCGAAATTAAAATTATAATTAGAAGTCAAATTATGTAGATAGAACAAAAAATTTTTTTTTTCAAATCAGGTCATTCACAAAATCTACATCTTCATATGAGTTTTGGGATGATTCTGAGGGAACAGGTGAAGCATATGGAGCAGTTGTGTAACTTGTCTGATTCTGACTTGTTGAATACCCTGAAGTATATGGTTCTGAGCGATTAGATAAAGAAGGTGGTTCATTGCAGTATCTTGATGAAGGAGCCGAGCCTGTTGTATATCCACTGTAATTGAATTGAGAATTGAATGCCGATGGATTATAATGTTGAGAAAAGTTAGTGCATCCTTCATCGGCTTTGAATATTATGTCCATTATTGCTCGCTGCACGACATTTTTAGTACTTCTGTTATATTGTTGCATCTTGCTGCATATAAAATTTGAAAAGAAAAGGGTTTCAGTGTCAAAATTATTTGGATTATTGTTTCGGGGTTCAGGAGTAGGACTAGAAACAGCACTCTTAACCCGGCGAGGCTGTGGTGGCAAAATGTAACAATGAGTATGTGGTGGGGTTTGACATACCCACTTATTAAATTGGCCATAAATATCATAATATCGATAAATTGAGTTCTAATCTTATGTTTTGTGATATTAATATAGACAATAAACAGCTTTTAAGGAAAAAACTTTAATATTTTAATAATATTTTTTTTATTATTTAGGAAAATAAAAGAAACTGAGTTTTTTTAAACAAAAATAGGCATTACCTTCATAAACCTCTAAAATAAACAAAAACAAAATTTTACTTTAAACAACAACTACTAAATTAAGAAAAAAACATTAGTCTTTGAATTAGAAATAAAAAACTATCATAATACTTTGGAACAGCTTAGGAACTAGGGTCATCATAACAACAATTTTTGCAGGAAAATATTGCATGCTCTATACATATGGCCTTCCCACATGTTGAGCAAGAGTGCTTTGTCTTTCGATCTTTTTTCCTTGGACAATCAGCACATCTCGTATATTGCCCAGTACTATTCTGGAGTGAACGACTTGGTTCTTCATTAATTTGCGAACAGATCCTCTTTCGAATATAGACTGGAATGTTTTTTTGGTCTTTTCGTAATCGTAAATGTTCATACACCAGAGCTAACCCTAGATTACGGATAAACTCTGTTCGCTTTATGTTTTCATTTTTGTTTTCCCGAAAAATAATATTTGCGTTTGAAGCAGCTATGTTTAGTATCCCATGAAAGATGGTCATAGGCCACCGCTTGCTGTTACGCGAAACATCGTAAGTAGCGCAGAGTTCATCGACAACATCTACTCCTGCTTTCGTACCATTATAAAATGTTATAATTTCGGGCTTCTTTTTATCTCCCGTGGTCTCATCAATTCTATCATCATGGTGTAAAGTGGACATAGCTATAACCACTTTATTCTTTTTCGGGGCGTAGGACACTAATGTAATGTCCTTCTGGAAACAGAACAATGAGCTTCCTGGTTCTTTTCCAGTTTTCAATAAAGCGGACGGAATGCATTTTTTGTTCTTTCGAACTGTTCCTGTAGATGTAAGCCTATGGTTAGCCAGTAGATGTAGCATTAATTCGTGACTAGTAAACCAGTTGTCGAATGTCAGGTTGCGGTTGGACTGTGATATGGGCTGAACAAGTCTTTCCACAAGATCAAACGGTTTGTTGCTAACTGCATAAGGTCCACTGGGTTGTTTCCCTGCATAAACTTCTAAATTGAATGTGTAGAAAGATTTTGCATCTACAAGAGCTTGGATTTTTATTCCATACTTAGCAGGTTTGCTCGGAATGTATACGCAAAATCCGCACTTCCCTCTAAAGGCTAACAACATTTCGTCAATGGTCATATATTCATGAGGAATATAAGCTTGCTGGCAGCAATCAACAAATTGGTCGAAAAGCATTCTGATATGAGTTAAGTTATCAGTTTCCTTTCACTCGTCTCTTGTCGATTTATCATCAAAACGTATACAGTTTTGCAGGAGGTAAAATCGTTGTAGGGACATGGTTGTACGAAAAATATCAACACCTGTACCATCCGTTCGCCACAAATCTCTGAGGCTCTGGCGACTAGATCTATTGAGTCCAGCAATATATAGCAAACCAACAAAAGCGTCGAATTCCGAAGCTGTTGTCTCTTTCATATAGTACATTTTTTTTGGATCATTACACTTTGTTTGCCGGTTAATAATTTCTTTATTTGTGTATGTCAAAACAGAAGTTTTCATTTGTTCAGTAAAAAAAATATTCCAGCATTCAACTTCCGTTTTAGCTAACTTTGCAATTCCTTTTACGCCAGGCCGTTCGAAAATTATGTTCTCGCTGCGAGTATGTACATTAGTCCGCGGTGGTTTTATGAGCCGTTTCTGACCAGCTTTGGACTCATAATAAGGAACTTGAACAGAAAACCAACGTCGATTTCTCAAAACTGACAGCGAGATGTCATCGTCAAAATCATTAAAATCTAGTGCAAGTTCACTGACCCCTTGTTCTCGATCACTAATCTCCTGTTCTGTCTCAGATCCTAGGTTATGTTCGCTGTAATGATCAGATTCGGGTTCGGAGCTTGACTCGTCCGAACATTCTTGGAAAACGTCCTCTATCATGGACTCAAGACGCCTTTGATCTCTTTCGAAACTCATTTTCGTTCAAAAACTAAAACAAAAAACAAATAATAAGCTAATAAACCAAAAAAACAATCTTCAATTTTACCGAAATAACCACACACCAACTATGTGGCGGGGTATTACGTACCCGACAGGAGTATGCGCACGTATATCTCAAGCGCCGGTTAGCGCAACACTGCGATCACGCCACTATCCCCTCCCGCAGCTCCTTAGCTCCAGCTATGCGGCGAGACAAACCGTTACAGCAAAAATTTAAAACAAAACGATCGTTGGAGTAATGCGTGGGGTATGTCACACCCCACCACAGCTTCGCCGGGTTAAGCACGCCAAGAGCCTCCGAAAGCATACCCATTTTTTTATTTTCGTCTGATTTCTTTTTTTTTGGGGGCCGGTCCAGATGGTGATATAAATTCTAAACTATTATCATTTTCTGCACTTGTAGATGCTCTCTGTTCCGGTTCATTTGTAATCTGTAATAAAAAATAAACTTATTGTTTCAGCTGCCGAAAACAGAGTCAGAATGGATCCAAATCTCAAACAGATTTGATGAATTGTGGAATTTTCCCCATTGTGCCGGAGCCATGGACGGTAAACATGTCATTATTGAGGCTCCGGTACATAGTGGCACAGAATATCGCAACTACAAATCGAATTTTAGTATAGTGATGTTTGCTTTAGTAGACGCGGAAAATAATTACACATTTCTGGATGTCGGATGTCAAGGCCGAATTTCAGATGGTGGAATTTTTAAGGCAACTGAATTATATAGAAAACTAGAAAATGATTCATTAAGATTGCCTGCATCTGAAGCACTGCAAGGTAGAAACAAAGTAGTACCTTATGTTTTTGTGGGAGACTCTGCCTTCCCTTTACAAAACCATATAATGAAACCCTATCCAGGAGAATACCCCAAGGGATCGCCGCGAAGAATTTTTAATTACCGGTTAAGCAGAGCTCGCAGGATTGTAGAAAATGTATTTGGTATCACCGCATCTGTGTTCAGAGTTTTACGAAAACCTATGCTCCTTCAGCCCGAAACCGTGGAGACTATAGTTCTGGCTATTGCACACTTGCATAATTTTTTGAGAAACACGGATTCATCTAAAAGCTTGTATGCACCCCCTGGATCACTTGACAGCGACCAAAACGGAAGATTATGTGAAGGTAGTTGGCGGAGAGATACTGAAATGTCATCTTTACTTCCATTGAATAATGTACCCAGAAGGGCTGCCTTAACAGCAAAACAAATTAGAGATGAGTTTAATGACTATTTTATGAACGAGGGTACAGTTTCTTGGCAGAATACATATTGTTAAGTTTTTTTTAATAAAGTCGAAGGAAACTAGTTAAATGCGGTTACCTCTGTGTTGCGTCGTTTCCTTGGATTATTTCGATCTCCTAAAAATGCCAGCGCCTCATAAGCAAACCATGTACTTTTTTGCGTTTCATCCGCACCTGTAAAATAAATAACAATAAATACATAACACAACAGTTTTAAATAAAGACAAAAGACAAGGACGGAAGATCATATAATAGAAGTAATAATTCAGGGGTCTAATAACAAAGGCAGAAAAGTCCACAAAACATGATTTGACATAATTTGCTAAAAACGAATAACGTTGTAAACCATCCAGATATGTACTGTAGTGATATGTTCCCATATGTGGAATTGAACTGTTATTAACTTTAACCTATTTTCATAGGCTAATACAAGTCAAATAAATGTAAAACTTAATAAATGTAATGAACTTTGCCATGTTTGTTAGAAAAGCGAGGACTCTGTGTTTTGAGGGTAGAAACTCTTTTGGTATCTCTCGCTTATTTTTTTTCATGGTACCAACACATGTAAGCCCCTTTTTCTTCAAATAATCAATAAGCTCTATTGACGTAAACCAGTTATCGCAGGTTACGTTTCTATTACTTCCAAACAAAGGCTTTGTTAGACGAATCACAGATTGTGTTGGTACTATAAACTTTTTTTCTACGTCTGTCAATCCCTCACCATCTGATCCACGTCCCGTATAAATATAACAATTATAAAAATAACCGTTCTTTGCATCACACAGGCACATCAATTTCAACCCATATTTCGCAGGTTTCATTGGCATGTAAATCATTAGATGCGTGCGCCCTCGAAAAGGTACCAACATCTCATCCACAGTGGCATATTCGCTGACATTATATAACCTCTGGCAATTTTCTACAAATTTTGTAAACACACACGACATTGCTGCGATCTTGTCAGACAGTTTTCGTACTTCACGATCAGCAGGGTTATCAAATCGCAAACAATGCAAAATGAACATAAATCTGTTTTTAGACATGACGCATCTAAATATCTCCCTACCGCTACCATCAGTCGCAAATAGATAATTTACATTTTCGTGGTTGGATTTGAAAACCGCAGTAAAAAATAGAAGACCTATAAATGCATGAAGTTCCACCATATCTAAATTTCGGAGCTCTGGGCGATCTTTATCCAAAAATTTTGCCCGATATAAATTTAACTTTTCATTAGTCCACTTGAGAATCTCTAGTAAAATCTCATCGTCAATATATTTATTCCAAATAGAAAAAGGATCTTTTGGGTCGTTTATTGTTAAATTTGAAAAGTTAGTTCGTCTAATTATATTATGTTGAGAAACTCGAACGACTCTAGATGGTGCTTGACGCGCCCATTTGTAGCGATTTTTTCCATAAAAGAAACGAATCGATCGAATTGATGACAGAGGAACATCGTCATCGGAGGACGTCTGTTTTTCAGAAACATTGTCAACCTGTTCTTCGGGTTCCGACTCACTCTGCGTATCCCAGTTATGCTCATGAAGCTCCGGTATAAAGGTGTCATCAATATCTTCAGCCTCCGAACCGCTAGAGTCTTCACGATCTATCCACGACATCACAGTTTTCTCAAAATCGTCATTCCATGGCACTACTGTTCTCCTATTTTTCGCTATTTGTTGGTTATTATTATTACCGAGCGACCGTTTGCTCCCGGACGACGTACTGGGCTCCATATTGTAAAAATCTTCAAACTACTGCAAAATTAGACGATAACTAAAACGAAACTATTTACAAAAAAAAGTAACGTAAATACTGAGGTAGGGTCTGAGAGGCCCACGAAAAATTTCAAAATTAATTTACGTTTCGTATAGCGCGCGCAAATACGTGTACAGCCGTTGACAGCCTCGACGCAACTAAACTCGAAAGTACTAGAAGGTATGCATGTGTCGTGCGCGGGGGAAGGAAGTAATTCAACAATTTTACTTTCTCAAGGCCCGAGAGGCCCCCACCTCAGTAGTTAAAGGTTAATGCCTGTCATTGGTCTATATATAATGTTTCTGTAGAAAGTCAAATTTCTTATGTTTTGCCACCATGAGCCATAATGTTTCGAAAGTAAAGTAGATACATCCTTAATCTTCTGAGGTTTTAATGGTACACCTAGTGCAATTTCATGCGGCGTAATCATTGAGGCCCTTTTTCCGCGGCGACACACATTGCGAAGGACTCCCAAATCACTTTTATAAAACGATTCGCCTTGTACCATCACATTGCTGGTGTCTGTGCGGCATCGCTTGATTATAATACGTTTGGATTCCATAAATTTGAAATGCCATTGACCTGGAGGCTTCATTACTTGCTCCACAGCCCCTTTCCAATCAAGCACTTTGCAGTCATTAGTACCCATGTGTATCACTGTTCCATGGTTCGCAATAATGTCATGATATTCTTGTGGCTGAATGATTACTTCTCTTCTCTTAATTTCCCGTTCTATATGGCCAAAAACTCTGTCCGATGGCAGGTATGAGTGCCCCGTTATCGGGAAATATACCTCAATATTTTTAATTCCTGGATGTAGAATCAACCATTTACAACACATCCCAATGAGAATGGTGTTTTTGTTCTGGCCTCCGCAGCCATCAGAAATCAATTTAATTAAATGAATGTCAGTTAAATCTGTAGTATTAAGCCGATGGTAGACTGCAGAAGCCACTGTATTGGAGTCTTTCGAATATTCCTCCTCACCCCATACATATGAGAAAACATTTTCTTTAGTTAATTTATGCTTTGAACTGCCTTGCACAATGGTCAAATTGTATATATATAAAACTGTCTACTGTAGTAGGTTGACTGATCGGGTAATTTAGGTAAGGGCTGGTTCTTCTGACAGTCAAAGGAAAGTGTAAGAGTTCTTTAATCTTGCGATTTTAAAACGTCATAAAAGGCTTTTGCCCGTAGGGAATGAACTCTTTTTAATGTTATTAGCTCAGTCTTTTTACCAATATCAGTTTCAACTTTAATTTTTTCTTGAAACTGAAGACATGTGGAGCAGATGTCAGTTTTTGGTGACCCGAACCCAAGATTGAACTCGGTATTAAATACTTTTCGAAAAAGCGATTTTGTCGCAATGGGCTGAATTTCACGGTTTTTGTACATCTCATACAACTTATTTATATTTAATTCTGCGGGTAAATAATGGCGAACAGAGGATGAACCGCGACAGTAATGAGGTTCGGAGGAATTCAAAGATTTTATAAAATCTTTTACTGAATTTCTTTTTTCTACAAACTTGTGGCTCTTATGATCACCGCCACGCTTCTCAGTAGGATATTCTCCAGTTTCAAAATGTTTTCGTATAACAGTTAGTACCCTATGTTTTTTTATATTTAAATAATTTAAGAACACTTTTTGACAGACAAGCTGAGGTTTTTTATTTGCTGGTATGTAAAACTTTGTTGTAAATGTTTTTGGTTGATGTGTATTCGTCCGAGATCTTTTACGTTTTGTTGGAATACTTTTAGTATATTTTAAAATAAGGGCGTCCTGTGATTGTTTTGTCGCAGTTTTGTAAAACGCTGTATGAAATTTCATAATATCATTCATCGTTAAAGAATTGCACTGAAATCCTTTCTTATGCGTGCAAATTATTCGATTGGGTAGCGTGTTTGGTTCATACCTAAAAAGATAAAACAAGTACCATCATTATTTTACAATTCTCAAACAACACCAAATACATAACAAAATCCCGACTGCAACAATAATTAGCAGCCTTCTTGATTGTACAACCCTATCAGAATTAGCCACTAACCTTCGTTTCTTCGCCTTATTTTGCTTCCAGTTTTCGGGATTTGCAACTTTTTTTCGAGCTTTGTTTTTAGGTACAACTTTAGGTCGACACTCCATCTTCACATTAAAACTTATTATATTAGTAGCAGCAGCAGAAACATTAAATTAAACATAAAATAAAAAACTTGTCTGCGCGATTTCGTTGAAAGCGGCCATTCAAACAGATGGCCTCTGATTGGTCGAAATGGACATTGCCAATTTTGTTATGTCAATCCGGGACTTTACCATTTTTGTTCGATAAACATTTCGTTTCTGCTAAAATTTTATTGGATATTGCCGTATTTGTAAGAATTTATCAATGTGACTATGTGAAGATAGTGTTGCTACATTTAATAAAATTAAAACCAGTGTTTGACATAAGATGGGACTTTGCCACCTTTGTTATTAGACCCCTGAATTGTACTAATAGCAAGTAAGTGATAATACCCAAGTAAAAATTAAATTAATAAATAAAAGTATGTAATATGTAAAGCAACAGAAATTTATATTAAAACATACCTTTTCCGGAACTATGACTCTTCTTTACTTTTCCTTTTTCTCTTCGATGTGAAGCAAGCAAACTTATCATTTTGTTCTTGCATTGTTCTATATCTCTTCCCAATGAATGAGCAATATCACTCCAAGCATCGTGTTTCAGATTTTTTTTATAGTAATACGGGTTTTTTGGATCCCAAATAACTGGTTTTTCTTGATACAAACTAATAAGTTCAAGCGATTGTTCGTCACTCCACATCTTGAACGTACACACGACACAACCGTCACGAACGCTGTCCAAACGAGCACTGTGAGCGCCTTTGTGTTCGCGCGAAAAACCGACAGCCGATGGATCAACCGCGAGCGCCACGCGAGCGTTACATGTAATGCTTGTAAACTCTGAGATATAGTCGAAGTCCAAAAATGTAAACAAACAACACCAGCTGTCAAAGTGACATCTCATAGACCATAAACCTTTTTTTCCACGTTCGTTTATTAACAGGTTCCACTGTATTGTGACTAATAAACTATAATTGATTATTACCCTTTTGGGTTGAACAATTTACAAAACTGTTTAGAAACATTTTGTGTCATAAAATAATTTCAATTAAAAAAATACCAGGAAATGAGACAGGTCACGGCCCATGGAAAATTATGCAAAAGAAACTTCTTAGAATATTCTTTATATTGGGAACATAAACTATGTTTTCTATATCAGTGGCTAAAGTGTTAAATATTGACTTTTGTTTTTACTCAGGCAAATTAGGAACAAATAACGTATTTTCATGTATAAACAAAAGCTTATGAGTTTTTGTTCGCTATTATTCAAAAATGTATTATAAGAGAGTACAAAGACAGGACAGATGTTAGTATAATGTTATCTGTAATTGCTATTGTTCTCGCTATTTGACATACAAAGAAAGATTTTAGAAATGAAAAAATAACGGGTCGAAGCTTTTGCGCCACCTACAAGCTTTATACTTTTTCAAATTAGTTTTTTAACATTAAAGGACAAAAACTGTGGCATAGGTACTATTATACATGAAAATACATGATATGCAATAAAGTATTGAGTACCTACATCATCTGATCCTATTTTTTTGCAAATTTAACCTTGATCTTTAACAATAAAAGACCAGAGTATATATTTTTTTTTATTCACTTCCACTCGACGTACTTGAATCAGAATCAGTAACATTAATTATAAAAGTATCCGATACGTCATCGATAAGATGGTCTAGCTGCATCATTTTGTTCTCTTCTTTTATTATGTGCCGAACACAATCACTCCATCTCTGTGGTGTCACCAATTGTAGACCTTCTTCGAACAATTGTCTCACTTCGTTCATTTTGAAGGTCTTATTGTTCCTAGCAACGTGCCCCTTTACTTGCGCCCAAACCAATTCGATGGGATTTAATTCGCAGTGGTAAGGGGGCAGTCGCAGAATGGTGACACCGTGTTCAGCAGCCAACTTTTCCACGGCTAATTGTTGATAATTAGATTTTTCTTTATTGACTATTTCTAATAGTTCAGCTTTGACCATGCTGTCTTCGAATGTAATATTCTTTGATTTCATCCATTCTTGAATATTGCTTTTCCGCCAGGCAGAAGAAGGGGTCTGTTCTAGCTTTCGAGAATGGTAGGGGGCATTATCTAAAACTAAGACCGAGTTCTCTTTCAATCTCGGTAAAATACCCCTTAACCACTCCTCGAAATGCTCGGAATTCATTTCATCGTGGTAATCTTCGGTTTTCTTTTTTGATTCCAAAATCAGCAAACCATCGTCTACAAAACCCTCTTCACTGCCCACGTGTGATATTATTAATCGCTTTCCCTTTCCTACTGGATTTTGTAGCCCTGTTGTGAGCCCTTCGAGGAAGGCTTCTCTTGACGATTTGATCTTCGTATCAACCCATGTCTTAACCGCGTGCCCTGAATTTAGCAGCATTCCTTTTTTCAAATCGTTTCAAACCATATTAGCACAGATTGCTTGTATTAATGATAAATACCAGTTAATTTAACTCTCATCAAATCTTTAGAATTTTATTGATTTATTTTGAATTAGTATTCAGATAATTATCTTTAATAATTCCGGTACAATATACTGACCTTTTTAATTGTCGGGCTCTCGTTTCTATAAAAAAATTCATGTACTTTTCTTCTAATGGCAGAAAAGGTGAATTCATCAAGTTTGTTTAGTATATCGGTCTTCGGCCCACTTTTTTCGGGCGATTTAAATTCTTCTCCAGCTTGATTTTCCATCACTATTCTCCGGACGGTTTTTTTAGATATACCCAGAATCTCAGCTGTTTTGTTGGCACAGTTGCACAAAGACCAATATTCATTTTGTGGCCAGGTATTAAATGTATGCTTGTAGACATTCATTACCATAACCTTCTCGGTTACAGACATTGCAAGGCGTGGTCTTTTTTCGGCGGTCTTAAGAGTGTCTTTTTTTGTTGAAGGACCTGGTTCTGCCTCCATTGTAGTTATGTTTACACGAACGCAAGCAAACACAAACGTAACATAACCGTGGATAATCGAGCTCTTTTTTTCACCGGTGATTTTAATGTGTTTGTATCCTTTTGTTCTTTAATAATTTTGTAAACGGTATTTTCGGACACACCGCATGCACTTGCTGTTTTTATAACTGTGCACTCCACAGTCGCGTTTAAATCGCAACGTTTAAAGAACTTGTAAACATTATAAATTATGCGTCTTTCTCCGCTGTGGATTATTGATCCACTTTTATTTTTTCGAATAGGTGAGGTATTCATTTTCAAATTGCTCGAGTAACACGCTAGATACACAACCGTTTTGTTCGAAGGTCTGACTTCAACTGGTCACTGTGAACTCGACTTAATAATTTCAAGCATTCTAATTGGCTAGGGGGCGTGGCCAGGTCGGCGGTCAACGATGAGTCACTATTTTCTTAACGCGAATGCACTATAATCACCTATTTATTATTTTAATATATTACATTAGGTATGTATTACAGTTCTATTGCTAGTTTATGTACAATTAAATATCATCAGAATCTTCTGCAGTTTTGAATAAGAGTTCCATTTTCTTTTTTTCATAAGCTACATCTAACTCATTTAGCTCTTTTTGGTGTTTCAAATAAAGCTCAAATTTTTTATTGTTATGATCAAATAGTTGTTCTAAAATGACAACTTTCATTTCTTCAAAGGTTTTATGGCTTGTTGGTAATATATGGGATTTACGCTTTGGTAGGTTGGTAGCTGGAAGGTTGGTTTGGCAGCTGGAAGGAGTTGGTTCAGGATTCTGTTTTTCACTTACAGGAATTTGGTGTACAACCATCTCATAGGTGGCTTGAGAAGTAGAATGAATACTCTCGTGATATAAGACTGTCACTTGAGTCGGTGTATTGCTTTCTTCTCTACTAGTTTCAGCGGGAAAAATTCTTTTATCCTTCGGTAGCCACGACAGAGTGAAATTATTTTAGTTAGATATTTTATTTTACAAAGATTTATATGCAGCTATGGTGACAATTAAACAGATTGTAATTGAATTAGAATTTAGATAAGTACACCTTATATACAGGTGTACTTATTGCCTTGGGAGCAAACACCAATACTATCAATGGGAACATTTGGCTGACAGCACGTATATCCGTGTTGCTCATGGGTTCTTCAGGTGGCCCACACCCTGTTCTTTTCCATTGGTTTTGCTGTGTCTGCGCATCTCATGGAATAGCATTGTGCATTGACGCAAAACTTTTTAAGCCTATCGCCTGTGGCCTGGAATATGATGTCTTCAATTATTATTATTAATGATATGTAGGTACCTACCAATACTTGTATTTTGTATCACTTAGGTAAATACGCTACTTACTACGCACATTTCTTGGATAAGGCTAAGCGCGCACTACGAAATTTATTCGTTGCGATGTTTAAAGTGCGAAATAAAATCGCAAACGAAAATAATTTCTACGCGCACTACGATTTATTGTCGCCTGCGAAATAACGGAGACAGTTCTTGTCACCGTGCCATGAAAGACGGGAGTGTACATCGAACATGGGTTTACACAAGGATAAGAAAATAGCCATTATATACTACTTAATTTTACGTAAAAGAATCTTAAAGAAGAAGAAGGTAGCTAAACGTTACTGGGTCCATCCTTTGACAGCATTAAGACCGATTAAAGGATTTTTTTACGTACGGTATAACGATCTTCGTATACATGATAAAAAGTTTTTTGGTTATTTTCGGATGACTATTCAAAGTTTTGATAACCTTCTACATACCGTTGGCCCTTTTCTTCGGTACAGCAACACTTCATGGCGAAATGCAATATCTCCTGAAGAGAGACTGTCGGTGACGCTGAGGTAAGTAAATGAGTAAAACAAAACATTTTTATATCAAGCTATTTTTATTTATTAGTCCAATAATTATACAAAATTATGTTAGAAAATTGTATTCATTTATGTGTGTGAATCATATAATCCCCCTAAGTCGTACAACTCTTCCGATTCCGATGTATTGCAATCCGACAGATCCATTGTAAACTGTTGTAAATAATCAGCGCAAGAACTGGTCGATGGCTGGGGCTCCAATTGTTTTTTTAGGATTATGTTTGATGGCGGCGCAATTATAGTTCTTTGGGGTGTTTCTCTTGTTATTTGTGATCGAGGCTGTTGAGCAGCTTGCGATGGAAGATAGTGAGTTTGTGAAATAGGAGACGATGGTTGAGTATACACTTGCATTGGCGGAGAAACAAAATATCGAGTTTTATTAAGAATGTTCATAATTTCTACTTTAGCGTAATGTTTCTTTCAACATTGGTATTATCATTTCAGAGAAGCTTACATCTTCATCCCATGTTTGGTTCTTATTTTTTAAAATATCTAGTAATTCCTCTTCGCAGTCGGTTTTCTCATCAGTATTAGATTTTTTCCTCAATGTAGTGGCAAGTCTTTGGTTAGCTATAGCGATATCAGCACCTGCATCAGCCTCCGATTGAGTTGAATCATCTTCGAATGTAATATTGCCACTAGATTCGCGTTGAATTGTGGTAGGGATTAAAAAAGATAGTGCGTCGAAATACAAATATTTCTTCTTTTTGCGGGCCGCCTGACCTAATGTTACGAGGGCGAATCAAATATAAACGAGACTTATTTTTTTAAATATTTATTTTGATTTTAAACGCACAAACAATCATAGTTTATTTTTCTACATAATCTCCTGATTTAGAAACACATTTTTCCCAGCGTATAGGTAATTTTTCAATTCCTTCCAGGTAAAAAGAGTCAGGTCGTGTTTGTAGCCAATTGCGCACATATGCTTCAACCTCATTATCGCTGTGGAATTTTTGCCCTCCCAAAGCTTCCTTGAGAGGACCAAAGACATGGAAGTCGCAGGGAGACAGGTCTGGACTGTATGGAGGGTGTTGCAGTGTCTCCCAACCCAGTTGCTCCAATTTTTGTACGGTCAGGGCTGCTGTATGGGGGCGAGCATTGTCATGGAGGAGAATCACTTTTTTCATCGGAAGGTCTCGTCTTTTGCGGCGATATGCAAGTCTGACCTCAGTCAAAAGTTTGCAGTAGTATGCCGCATTAATTGTTTTGCGCTCATGCAAAAAATCAAGGCACAGCAGGCCACGCTGGTCAAAAAAAAACGGTAGCCAAAACCTTGCCAGCCGATAATCGTGACTTGGCTTTCACTGGTGCGGTTTCTCCTTTCTTCCTCCACTCCTTACTCGCTTGTTTCGACTCAGGGGTGTAGTGATGCACCCACGTTTCATTACAGGTGACAATGTGAGAAAGAAATGGGTCTCCTTCTTCCCGAAATCGTGCAAGAAGAGGCTCACACACTTGAAAACGATTCAGTTTCTGGTCAACTGTGAGAAGGCGAGGAACCCACCTGGCACACACCTTGCGATACCCTAGCTCCTCTGAGAGTATAGAGTAAGTGCTCTCATAACTTATTCCAACCTTAATTGCAATATCCGAAGTTGTTAGACGCCTATCACCTTCAACAAGTTGACGAACACTGTCGATGTTGCCCGCTGTAATGCTGGTGCGGGGTCTGCGATCATGGCTCTCATTTTGAACACGTTCACGGCCCTCCACGAAATGTTTATGCCAAGCAAACACTCTAGCTCGCGACAGCGTCTCATCCCCGACCTGTGCAATCAATCTTCTCAAGATTTCGGCCGGTTTTACACCTTCTGCAGCTAAAAACTTGATAACAATACGTTGCGCAATAGAGGGAGGTACCTCCTGCTCGGACATCGTAACGATGGACACTGAGCGAGTCTATGATGATGAGTCACGTGCTTCCCCCACTCCTGACAAACCAACCAAACAGCCAATAACAGCGGAACGTTCTTCCATCACTATTGCGCGCGCAGGTCCAAAAGTCTCGTTTATATTTGATTCACCTAGTATTTTTTTTGGAGTGCAAGTTCTCTTTTAAAAGTGTCTCTTAAATTGCGCCACTTTTTCTGCACTTTCAGGCCTGTGAAAAGAAGAAAACAGTAATATAATAGCTATGTAGGAGGAGTGTCCGTCTGTGTAAGGGAGAGTAGAGTTTTGTGTAAGGGAAAGCAAATGTGTATGTGTGTGTGAGGGTGTGTGCATGTGTGTCAATAGTGTGTAGAAGAGTATAAATTTTATACATAATAATAATATATTATATTTGATTTAAGGTACTTGGCATCAGGAAACAGCTACAACTCAATGTATTATGAGTATCTTATTGGTGCGTCGACAATCCGTGAAATAATAGAAGTGTGCAGTTTGCTTTGGTCATGTCTCCAGCCAACATATATGCCTCAACCTACTAAAGATATGTGGTTAAAAAAAGCCCAAACATTTCAAAGACTAACAAATTTCCCACATTGCTTGGGTGCCGTCGATGGCAAACACGTGAGATGTGAAAAGCCAAACAGAAAGGGTTCTGAATATTTTAATTATAAGCATTATC